AATGATAATCATCGTGTAGTCGCAGCGCTCATTACGAAAACCACATGCGGGCTCCTCTTTTCGGCATAGCACCGTCCGGTGAGGGCCAGAATCCCGTCATTACGTCTGTGATTTGCTGCAAGACAACTATTCAGTATGCAGGGCCTGTGGCATCGAAGAGCTTACTCACCAGGTCAAAGCAGCCGGTCTTTGTTTTCAGGCCATCACAGTTGCTGATTAACTTTGGTTCGATCTCATTTACCTTTCTTACTGTATCGCTGTTAGCCGGCACGTGGAAAGCTGAAATACAAACATAGGAATATCTTTGGCAGTTTCGCAGTATGTGTTGAGTATACATTTTTTGATAACCTGATCGGGTGGGGAGCCTTGAGGAAAGGGGAGCACCAAGGAAGAAAACGTGACTTTTGTGTCGCCACTCATCTGGCTATCGTGGAAAATGCTCTTGAAGGGGGAGAATGGCGTTGTGGCAAGGTTCTGGTGGGACTGCAAGCTCTTGACGAGCAGGTTTTCACTCAGAGCAACTTGTCACAGCCTGTAGAGTAGCAGCGGAGTCAGAAAAACCTTCCAAGGCCAACCTGCGTAAATTGGGGCACGTTCGGCAATGTCGTCCATCATGACGGTCCCAGAACTTACACCGGCAGCCGAGACGAGACCTGAAAGAAAGTAGCCAGTCTTTGATACAAACGTCAGCTCAGTGTTTTGGAATTCTCTAGGTTCTCTTATCCAATATGATTTTGTTTACCTGGGAAAGTGATACGTCTCATCTGATTCCATATGTATCGTCCATCCTGATAGATGTCCGGATTACCTGTGCGATTCATCGCTGTGCGAACAGCGATCGCATAGAGTCGCAAGTGCATCGTATAGGATGGAATGTAGCCATAGATGTTTGCCTGCAATAATGAGTGTTATCTTATTTATTTGTCACTGTGGACGGTGCTTTGGGGATGAAAGTGGTGCCAATGAATGGTCCCCAAGCGGAGAGCAGTGTTCTGGCTTTCGTAGCGCTCACTGGTTCACTCTCTGGGCTGAACAACCATGCGCTGTACTTTCATCCTCAGCACGACTGTAATCCATTAGGTGATTACTTACCAAGTCCAAATCGTCAGTAGTCATTCCGTTTTGCTTCTACACGCTCGCGAATGGCGTCACAGTGTTGTCTCAAATCGCGCTTCACGTCGTCAATCTAATAAGCGGATTGAGTATACTCAAAAGATATCATTATTGGCATTTGAGTTGCAGGTTGACTTTACAATGAGTCAATCATGGGTAATTCAGCTTTTTCAGACTAGGCGTCGTGGAACCTGAAAACCCAAAGTTTCACTTACAATGAGTGAATTTCGCACAGAAATGATCTTAATATTTTTGTGTTATCTGCCCGTCTTCTCCAAATCCATTGCGCAGATACTTCTTTTCACGACTGAACCACATGATTTCTCCCACCTCATAGCGTACTGTATCCCGCGCATGAGACTAGAACGTACTGTGCCACGGAAGATGGTAGACGTAATCGTTGCAGGAGTTCAAACTTTGCTGTTGAAAGCCGCTCTCATGAATTCCTTGGACATTTCACGTGTCGACGAAAATATACAGATAATCACTGAAAAATGATTTCTAGTTATACAGAAAGCAGCTTAGTTCTGCCTTGTAAAGGGGTTACTGGCTGCGTTTCACGTCCGTCACTTTTGTCAGCATCTGCAATTCCTATGATGGGAACTGGTAAACTAGGGAAAAAATCGCAAGAAAGTATTTTATTAGGTTGGCGGGAAAACTCTGTCACATTTTTCAATTAGGCTTGCTTTTTATAGAGAGGCGTGTAATATCAAAACTTATACAGGCAATATATACTTGTCGACGGGTCGTTTGCTAGTGTTTTGCAGCCCTCATGGATTTGCCATCGGCTTGTTCACAATGCATAGGAGCTGCGGGGCGACCAAGAGTGGACATCATCTCAATCTTGGGCTGAACTCCGTGTTAATGAGGTTTTTCTCGTCCAATAATGATTGAGTACGGGAGGCAACTGGCAGTTAGAATGAGCAATGTCTGTGCTACACCAGTACAAGGGGAGAACCATCCAGTTCTATTGCATGAGGTACGGCTCGAACTTTTTTGGACGGAGTGCGCTGCACTATCATGATGAGGGCGGGCTGTGCGGACAAATTTTTCCCTCTGATCGACGGTACGCTTTAGATCTCGTAGCTGCTTTGCGTACGCATTGACCGAGGAAGCAGCTTCTTCATCCAGCACTTTCACGACCCGCAGCTCCCTCAATCTGAGTTCACAGGTAACCCAAACCTCACTTCGTCATCAAAACTGTAGGCTCCCTAGGCTCCCGCCTTGAAGCATTAGCGTCGTGGGAAGGTTGTCCGATAATTGAGGGCATCGTCCTTATTCAGCTCCATTATTTTGGCATCTGCAGCTATCATGCTGGCGTCAGGGTGGTGGAAGAAAGAGTTTGAGGAAGCGCTTGGAGGGGTCGGTGCCGATGGTAGCGGATAAAATCCTTGTCCATATTGCAGAAGAAGAAGCAGGAGTCAAGCGAGTGGTACTAATAGAAAGACCACTCCTTGATGTATAAGTGCTTACATTACCGGTTACCCCTCTATGGGCAAGTATTTTGAGTTGAAATAGTGTGACAGGACTTTCCCGCCAGCCTAATACTTTGATTAATGGGAACTGCCAATGCTCTTCGATATCACACAGCGAATGCTATACTCGTGGTGAAATGGGCACGGTGAAAAATCGTCTTACATATGCTGCAAGCAGGAAGACAAAGGAGTAAATGGGCAGCAAAACAACCCCCTCCCACCTAATAAAGAGTGGTACGCCATGACAGGCGTTTCATATCGATAAAATAGAGATTAGGTTTCTCACCTCTAGCGCTATTGGACAGCTCTTCGAGTAGACCACTTTGCTCCATGGCTTTGGCGTTTGCATTCTCATCGAACATTACCTAAAAACAAGAGTGACTTGCCTGTTCTTCTATCTCATTCAACCTTTCATAGGGACCCGAGCTCTCTGAATGGTCGACTGCCTTCTTTAATCTCATCGGTGCGCAACTTACCTTCTTAGTTATTTCAATTTTTCTCTTGTGGAAAACCTCTTCGAAGGCCGTGAATCGTTCGAATGCCACCACGCCAGTGTTTGTTGCGACACCAACCTGAACAAGAAGTTCTGTGACTTGGCCTCATGAAAAATCGAAAGGCAATTTT